GAGAAGGGGGAGGAAGAGATGACGACCAATGCAGCGATCAGAGATCTGCGAGCGCAAGTATGACGTTCCGCGCCACGGGGAGCAGCGCTCCGACAATGGGGAAGCCGTGACCGAAGCCGGTTTCCCGGAGGACGCAGCGATTGAGGACTGAACCGGCAGCCGCTCCTACTCGAGATACCATTGTTCCATGCGCGAGAGCACCTGGAGGAACCATGGGACCGGGTTCAAATGTATAGTCCCAGGAGAATTATCTAGGCCTACCCATTCTTAGGGTATGGCGGGGCCAGATTGGTTAGCCATACTCGTCCAGGCAAGCATACCAATGCAGAGAGGTCCCAAATACCCACATTTCTTTGGGGGTTTGGTTCGACTATCTATCCAGACCAGGAGGGGGRATTTTYGCAGAGGCAGATCCATATTTTTGCTGCGTGTCAGCCGAAGACCTCTCTTACGCAAACAGCACAAAAGGCAATCAATGCCAATCATATGTTCTTTGCTACAGGTCCGACTGGAATCATTGTAGGCTTGTAGCGACGAAGACCTCTCTTATGCAAACGGCACAAAAGGCAATCACATGTTCTTTGCAACAGGTCCGACTGGAATCATTGTAGCGACAGACCCATAATCTTTATTCCGAACTCAGAACAAGCAAATATTTTTTGGAGAATCCCGATTGATGTACAGACTTCGCTATCCATCTATTTCGCTATCCATCTATTTCGTTATTCCAAACCCAAGGGGCGGGAAATCCTGCAAAGGCACGTCTTCATGTATCCTGTTACATGCTTTCAGAGTCCTCCCTTATGCAAACAGCACAAGGGGCAGCCTCTTATTTTTGCTACGGGCCCAATGGTAACCACCGTGGTGTACACTAATAACCTCCATTCCATACAACAGAATAAGTGAATCCCCTTTTATTTGGACCAGTTTGATTGACAAACCCATTTTGCCCATCCTATCCGACATTTCTCTGTTCATCAAGTGTCCAACTTTTTCTCCCTCAAGATCCTGAAACAGGTACATGCATGTATATGTACGTATGTATGTGTGTGTGTGTGTGTGTGTGTGTGTGTGAGAGAGAGAGAGAGAGAGAGAGAGAGAAGAGAACATGTAAGTCTCTAACCTTGCGGCTGGCCTCATGGTACTTCCATCCATAGGATGAGCAAAATCGAATGAATCTACTGCTAGAAAATGGAAATATACATTGCCACACCTAGGAAGAGGGGAAGAACAGGTAGAGCCGGGTAGGGCACCGTTAGAGTTTCGCCCTATCCCCCCCTCTAACACCGTTCTACCTCTTTTCCTCCCCGTCTAACCCACTTTAAAAAAATGCGCGAGTGGAGGGAGGCTGTGGATGATGAGGACTAAAACCCACCACTCAGAAAAGGACCCTTCCCAAAAAAAAACACCCCTTTATGCCCCTTCACCCCTTCACCCCTACACCCCTGAACATGCCTCCCCTACAACCATCACCACCCCTAGGCTGCACCCCTCCCCAACACTCCCCAAAAGCCCGCCTCCTATGGATGAAACTCTCTCTCTCTCTCTCTCTCTCTCTCTCTCTCTCTGTGTGTGTGTGTGTGTGTGTGTTTGTGTGTGTGTGTGTGTGTGTGTGTTGCACGCTATGGGGCACACACGGTCACTCGAGGGTCACGGAGGGTGTGTGAAGGGAGATCTAACGCACGGATAGGGAATTGCTTGCGGAGAGGTGCACACAAACACGTTCAGATCCGGAGGAAAGCAAACAAGAAACAACAACAAAAGTAGAAAACCGACAAGGCCGGTACCCGCTCCGGTCCGGGACAACTATTTTGTTTCAGGCGGGTACCATCACCGGCTTGATGGTGGGTCTCTGGCCTCAGGCCTGAGTGGCTGAGTACCTGAGGCCAGTGGCCCAAGAGYACTATGCTGGCATAYTAGGCATAGTGTGGAACAGACTGTTTTCGCAGAGCGAAACTAGCCCGACCGGGTTAAGCTACCTTGAAAGCCGTATTTTTGGGGTTGAAGTCGAACCGAATATTTTTAATATTCTCGCAGAGAGGGCGTACACACACTAGAAAGTTTTGGACTGAGCTCTGGACGTGWTTGTGGACAGATACATCCAGGTCCAGTCGKAACTCCAGTCAGGTAYATTTAGCCTTATTTAGGAAAGCCCAAGAGCGAGTATGCCCTCATTCCCCTACACGGCTTTCAAACTTTCTGGTCTG